AGTCAGTTTTAGTAATTTATATTTTTTCATAAAATCCATTTTATTTTCAAATTTATAAATTTGTGCCTTATAGTTTCTTATTCCATTTAAAATACACTCTCCATGCCTATAGTTATACCACTATTCAAATTCCCAGTTTTGTCTGCTTTTCTTTTTCTTTTTTCTTTCTTGCTCAGACTGTTCTTAAATGTAAGACCAATTTTCTTTTAAAAATTTTAATAGGCAACATGATCACATGATTCAAAATGTTAAACATATATGTATGTGTACAGTACAGCATCTCCCCTCCTCCAGTTCCCTGTCGTTCCAGGTCTCACTGCTCCCCAAGCGCCCAAACAGGTGACCACTGCTACTGATTTCTTGGGTAGTCTTCCAGGGATTCTTTGTGCATAAAGTGAAAAATGAGTACCATTTACTTTTCTTCCATTTTTCACAAAAGCTAGCATACACCATTCTACATACAGAGTTCCTCATTCGTTTTACAGCTGCAGTATCTTCCATTTTATGTATTTATCAAATGTATACGTAACCCATCTGTAATGATTACATTTGAGTTGTTTCCATTCTTGCGATTCAAACCAGGATGTTGTTTCATTGTTGACACCCAGTCATGGGAATTCTGTTAGTTTTTTGGCTAAATATTGCCAAATTGCCTTCTACAGAAGTTGTAGGTTTTACATTTAACTAATAAAGTACAAGAGGGCCCATTTTCCCCAGGGAAGTTTTATCAATTTTGTATCAAAAGCAAACAAGTTTTTCTTAATCTACCCTTAAGTTTTTAAAAAGTTTATTGTGTTTGAGTCATTTATTAAGGTATAATTTACATGCAGTAAATTCACCCTTTTCACTGTACAGTATGTCGCGTAATTCTAATTTGCATGTCTGCTATCATAAGCATGATATTTTTATAATCACAAGAAGAGAGATTTTAGGGGCTGGCCCCGTGGCCGAGTGGTTAAGTTCGCGCGCTCCGCTGCAGGCGGCCCAGTGTTTCGTTGGTTCGAATCCTGGGCGCGGACATGGCACTGCTCATCAGACCACGCTGAGGCAGCGTCCCACATGCCACAACTAGAAGGACCCACAACGAAGAATACACAACTATGTACCGGGGGGCTTTGGGGAGAAAAAGGAAAAAATAAAATGTTTAAAAAAAAAAAAAAAGAAGAGAGATTTTAAAACCCCAAAATGTAGTGAATAAAACTTCTAAATAAGAAGTCAATTTGCACATTTTTATTTCTTTCAACCTCAGCAAATTTCATCCTTTCGCAAATTCAGAGCACACCGAGCAATACAAAATGATTTTTTCAAATATGTTCTTGCCAATTTTGGAGAACCACAGTAAGACAAATTGACTCTCAAGACAGAATAGCTTAACTGGGAAGGTACATTTATTGAATAATTGAAAGGAAGAGGAAATGCATTACTGATTAGCCAACAAAAATGCATGATGCCTAATCTGACCCTCAAGAGACTTGCGTAAATGGGAGTCGTAAAACCGTTTCAGCCCCAGAGTTCTTACCAGCCTTCAGACCTGTTGCTGCCTTGCTTATAGGTTGAAGCCTCAGGGCGTTGATGGACTGATAATAGCTTTCAGGTTTAGCCAAAGTGAGGCGTCCCCGCAGCTCTTTGTAGCTTTCCTGACCCTTTGCACTGTCTGGTTGTACTTAAATATTTTAAGTGAATCCTGGATTTATCATTACCTGCTATGTTTTAGGATTTTTGCCTCGTAGGGGACAGTGTGGTGTAATGCAGAGAAAAGGCACTTAATGGTGGCAGAGTTAGGACTAGAACTCAAGACGTCTGATTTATTAAACAGACAAATGACCTACAGCCAGCAAGTTCGTTAACTTCTCTGGGCTTATTCCCCATCTATCTATAGAGTCGGAGAAGGTTAGGTAAGTTCCTTGCTCCTCACAGAATGGTCCACGCACCCGCATCGCCTGGCAAGTTCTCAGAAAGCCAGACTCTGGAGCCCCAACCCAGAGCTACTGAGTCAGAGTCTGCATTTTAATCAGATATTCAGGTGATTTGTATGCACCTCAAAGTTTGAGAAGTGCTGGGATGGTCTCCCAGATTCTGGTACTTGTTCCACAATCCTGTTCTTCTAGGTTCATCTCAGTCATCACAGACGGTTCCATACAAATTTGCAGGGTTCGCTAGAGAGGTTTTGGTCTCCCTGTGTATCTCGGTGATTGTCAGCACTGGTGATAACGCCATAGTCAGCACCATCCTCTTCCACTAGCTGTGTTTAGATTAGTACTGAGACAATGGGGCAACAGGAGATGTGAGCGCCAACTCCATTTGCCTTTCCAGAGCCTTGGGCAGCCAGCCCAAGCCTGCACAATGCCTCCTGCAAACTTGGCTGTGTTGTCCAAATTCTAGAGGCTCATTAAATAAAGAACAAGGAGATAAATATAGGCAAGCTAGATATATGGAGCATTTATCTATTTCTAATGTACTTCCTTACCAGGTAAGTAAATTTAAATGATATACTCTGGGTGGTGTCCCTTGGAAAAGGCAACTTTCTTTTATGTCAGGAGAGAAACTTTATCTGGACGTTGATTTTGGAGGGACATCATGAATTTGAATTTAAACTTGACAAGATAGGAAATATTTACATATTTATTCTTCACCATCCCAGTCCAGAGAGAACAAAGCAGCACAAAAGGACAGAAATGTGTTCCTGTCATTGTAGCAAGCATAATAATCCTAAATTAGCCATCAGAGTGGGAAGAATTCCCGCTTATGCTCATGGAACTTGTTATTGAGGAAAGTCTTTTTTATTTTGCACTGTTAGGATTTCTGGGGTGTCAGTGCTTTCTGCCCTAGACCTAACTAACCAGGCTGCATTGTGTGAAGCCTGTGGTTTTCACAGGCTTGCTATAATTGCTTACTTGTATAATTGCTTGCTGTGGAAAATCTTGTGAAAATGATAGAAAAAGCATTGAAAGAGAAGCAGGACCAGAACCTCTACATATGGGTGTCTGCAGATAAAGGGTCCTCCTTCATGATTTTGGAGCTCTTCTGGCTGAATGAGGTCTATCCACATCAAGAATCTTGATGTTCTCTCTTAGCCCTCAAGTTAGAAACTAAATTAGTTTTGGGAATTCATAAAATTTCAGCGTATCATTTGCAAAAAGTCTTCCTAGAAAGGTTCTGAAGATAGTGCTGGATAGAAATATGTGTGAGTAGGATGTCAGAAGTCTAGAGTTACTTCTCTGGATGCTGTATCCTTTCTTAGCTGAAACACGTGCAATGGGGCTTTCTTTGCATCGTGTCAGTGTAATTGTTCAGGCTGGGCTGTGGGACTTGAAGGTAGCCAAGTTCACAGTAGCCAAAAATGTGCTTTGTTTGAAAACCAACAGTTTGTTTCTGCTTTTGTGCATTTTATGTGTTTGATCTGTTCAAAAGAACATTGAAAATAATGGATTGCTTTGATGCACATTCTAGGGAAGAAAAATGACAAGTATATATACCCTGGAGTATATCAACAGAAACTGATAGGACCAGTGAGAATACCATGTATTTTTCACCCTTACGTATACACACATGCAGTGAGATTGAAAGAGAAAGTTCATGCACTAAGCAGTTCATTTAGGAATGCCTGAGGGCCTGGCCCGGTGGTGCAGCGGTTAAGTTCACACGTGCCACTTCAGTGGCCCAGAGTTCGCCGGTTCGGATCCCAGGTGCGGAGATGGCACCGCTTGGCAAGCCATGCTGTGGTGGGCATCCCACATATAAAGTAGAGGAAGATGGGCACGGATGTTATCTCAGGGCCAGTCTTCCTCAGCAAAAAGAGGAGGATTGGCGGCAAATGTTAGCTCAGGGCTAATCTTCCTCAAAAAAAAAGGGACTGCCTGGAACACACCCTCATTTCAGAGAATATTGAAGTCTATCTTCCTCCTATTTCCAAACTATATAATAATAAGAAAACGATGGATTTTTTAGCACAAAAATGTGAGAAAGGTAATTTTCCCCCAGATGTATACAAAAACACTCACAAATAGGGCCATTTCTTTGTATTTAATGCCATATTTGCTTTTCATTGTTCTGTTAGAGGATTTAATGGAATTTGACTTATGGGGTAATCAAATAACCACTGCACTAGGTGTGGCTTAGATCTTTTGACCTTTAGAGGGAAGTGTATCTTTTAAATTCATACAGGAGCATCTATTTCTATATTTCTTTGATGATTGTAGAATTTTACTTAAATCCTACGTCCAGGTGTAGTCTCAGTGTCCAGCATCGCAGCCCATGTCCTCGCTTGGGTGAGGATCCTCCAGGGGTCCCAGGGATCCTCTAAAAGCTCTAGCCTATGTAGCTGACAGTAAATTTGATTTAAATCCATGTTTGCACCCTTGATCTCAGATGTGGCTGGGATCAGCTGGTGAGCATTAGAAAGCCTGACATTTGACTGGAAGTTTAGCACTGGCTAAACAAAAAATTATTTCCCCAAATGTCAAGTGTGTCTCACTAGTCAAGATGGAAAGTAAGGAGGAGACAAGGCCAAGAAGAAACATCTGTGTGTGGTTAAATAACATTTGCTTCATTTGCTATTGAAAACACTTCTCTTTTGTGTGTTCAAGAACTGTATTTGTTTTAAAAGGGAAAAATCAACTTGTCAGCTATTGTTTCTTAATTTTGCTCCATAAAAGGCTTTGTCAAGATTAAGGAAAACATTCATTTTCAGACTCTGGTGGCCTAGGCGTCTTTCTGAATGCAGCCTCTTCTGGCGGGTTCGCCTTTCTTCCCTGACAGGCATGGCTGCTTGAGGGGCAAAGGCTGCTCCCCCATCTTTCCCCATCTCCCATTGGCCCTATTCACAGTATGCGCATGCCCCGCATGGGGTAAAGACGGGACAGGAAGCTAGGACATGGCACTAGGCCATGTGTGTCGTTGGGACTGTATAATTTGGGCTTGGAGTCTGCTTTCCACTCCTTATTTCATTTCACACTCACATGTCATTGCCTGTGGTTTTGTCTTTGCTCTCCCCCATACAGATCCGGAGTTAGGTGTTGGCACGCTACCTGAACATGACAGCCAGGATACAGGGCCGATTGTCCCTAAGATATCGGGTCTAGAGAGAAGCCAGGAGAAGAGCCAGGACTGTTGCAAAGAACCAATCTTTGAGCCCGTGGTGCTTAAAGACCCCTGCTCTCAGGTCCCACAGCCACTTTCCCAGCCCCAAGTGGAGCCGCAGCCCCGAGCTCCTTCTCCGGACCCTGACTTGGTGCAGCGCACAGAGGCCCCGCCTCAGCCTCCACGTCCAAGCACACGGCCATCACAGGCGCCCCCAGAGGCCCAACTTCAGCCTGCCCCGCAGCCTCAGGTGCAGAGGCAGCCCAGGCCACAGTCCCCTACCCAACTGCTCCATCAGAATCTCCCGCCTGTGCAGGCCCACCCCTCGTCTCAGAGCCTCTCCCAGCCTTTGTCAGCCTACAACAGCAGTAGCTTAAGCCTCAACAGTTTAAGGTGAGCCAACCTGCTTTTTTTTGCCTGACTTTTGTCATCTTATTTGGGACAGGCAGGTAGTAGTGGATAAGGGATTCCCAAGGAGACTGGCGTTTCCCTGTTGAAAACATTGTCATTTTGTTCTTCATGAGGCAGAGACCGGAAGACAGGGAGAGGGCTGTCAGGTGAGAGGTGGGTCTCTTGGGAGAAGATTGGTTGAGTTGGGTTGTGTAGTGAGGACATTGTAAAGAACTAAAATATCCATCAAGACTCCTGAGAGAGCGAAGGTAGGAAGGAGAAGAATGCTTAAGAAACAGTTGCAGGTGCTGTGCTCGGGACCCCTACCATGGCTGAGAGGCAGGGAATGGAAACCTGAGGTTCGGCAGAGGTCACTGAATGCTAAGAGATTCACAGAAGAGAGGCTCTTTGCCTCTGAGGGAGGACTTTTTACAGAAGCTACCTCTCCCTTCAACTCCAGAGGCAGGAATTTGGGACTAAGGAGTATTCTGGTTTGAGGTTGTCATTGTGATTTACTTCCTCCATGGTGGGACAAAGAGGTAGAGAAGAAACAAGCTGGGTTTAGAGAAGGAGCAGAGCTCTCGCTTGGAAATCCAGGCTCTCCTCTGTCTTGTCTTTGCCAAATTACAAAGGAAAGTTTAAAAAGTCACACAAAGGAGAACTGCAGAGAAAAGGGAGACACAACCTGGGTGCAGGGCTACGTGTTGCCCACCCTGGCCTTTCCTGAGGGTTGTAATTCTAACCCCTGTTGTTTCCCTTGTTACAACTTAGCAGCTTGTTTTTCCTGTCTGTGACGGGAGGGAAAGTGCCTTAGTTGGGCCAGGGCCATCCTCTGCCCCAAGGCCAGTTCTGAGGTCTCCAGACCAGAGAGGTGATAGGCAACCTGAGTCCCCTGTTTCACCTCTTCTCTGTGCTTCTTCACTGAAGAAGTAGCAGACAGACAGGGTGCACTCAGATCATTGTTCTCATTCCTTTCTTGAATTTTATTGCTATATAGGGAATGTGGCTAGTGGAGAATGGGAAGTCATGGAACTTTCCAGGAGTGAAGAGGAGAATCCGGCCGCAGAGGGAAGAGCTTCCCTGGGTTTTTGGCAGAATCAGCTGTCTGGACCCCGAGATGCGCAGTAGCTCTGGAGCCGCAGTTTCTGTTGTGCTGTGTCTGAGGAGTGACGGGAACTTTAGAGGAGTTGGGATTCCAGCAGAGGCTCCTGTGCAGAGGGGAGGCTCCATAAAGAGGCAGGAGCGAGAGGAAAAGCGTTCAATGGCTTTGGGCAGGGAGATGGGATTTTTTTAAGAAAATAAATTGCTTACCTCTTTTTCTTCTTTTTTTTTTGGTTGTTACTCCAACAGCAGTAGCAGAAGCAGCACTCCAGCGAAGACTCAACCCGCCCCTCCTCACATCTCCCACCACCCCTCAGCCTCCCCATTCCCCCTCTCACTGCCCAACCACAGCCCCCTGCACAGCTTCACGCCCACCCTCCAGCCCCCCGCACACTCACATCACCCCAATATGTTTGCCCCTCCCACTGCTTTGCCTCCTCCACCACCTCTGACATCAGGGAGTCTGCAGGTCCCCGGACACCCGGCCGGGAGCACTTACTCAGGTAGGATGGAGGAGCTGGCCTTGCTTCCCCATGCTCCCACCTCCCTTGCCAGTGGCTTCACCTGCTGTCTCTGTTGTCCCTGATTGCCAGGTTTTATCTGTTGACAATTTTCTGCTTTATTGTATGTATTCTTGTAATCTTCCTCCAATCGTTTGTGGGCTGAGGTTCAACAAAAATACGTACCAACACCTACACCAACCTAGCACAACCCAGGTGAATTGGACACTGCCAGAGGGAACCAGTTTGTTTGAAGTCATGAGGCTTTTCGAACTAAGTTCACCCACTGAATGGTAAAACACAGATTGTATGTGCCCTGTTGTCTAGGCTCCCATTCGATGACAAAAGCTTCCAAGCCCATATATGTTTCATTCCAGCATCTTGAATTGCATCCTGGTTTAAGGGGTTTGTTTTAGTTGAATAGGGCCTTCTACCTTCTTGGAAAAGGAAGATGAACTTTTTGTGGCAATATATCCTAGAATATTAAGGATAGACCTAGTGTTAGATATTGGGTCCTTTTCTCCTCACCTGTATTAATCAGGTCAAATGTCCCAATTTTGAGTCTATTGTAGCCATGTTACACCACTAACACAGAGAGCTGTAAAGCAGAGATTGGCCTTTGAAGAGGGCGTGAGAGTTCCGCCATGTTAACGACTGACATTGATTAGTATGCTAGTCCCTGTTCTTAAGCACTTAACTACGTTAATTCCTTTAACCCTCAAAACAAACCCACAAAATAGGCAGTTTTATTGTCTCCATGTGATAGATGAGGAAACTGAGACACAGTTGGGTGATTTGACATGCCCAGGGGTCACTCAGCTGACAGTGACAGAGCTGAAAATTGACCTCTGGCCATTCAGCCTGGAGTCTGTCAGCAGCCACACTGATAGACCATCTGTTCCTAAAAGCCAAGAGGCTAGACAGAGAACAGAATTAGATTGTGACTGGGCGTTAGTATCCTCTGTCTCGTTGGTTGTCCCCTTCCATGTAAGGGTCCAGCTGCACCCCTGAGAGCCCCAGCTCCTGTGCCCTCACCCCTGTGTCCCCTGCATAGGGTGCTTGGATGTCCTGTTCTGAAGGAAATTACTGCTACAAGAAAAGGTGTCATCCTCTCCCTTTTCTTCTTTTCCAGAGCAAGACATCCTGCGACAGGAACTGAATACACGTTTTTTGGCCTCTCAGAGTGCTGACCGTGGGGCTTCCCTGGGCCCTCCGCCCTACCTACGGACCGAGTTCCACCAGCACCAGCACCAGCACCAGCACACACACCAGCACACACACCAGCACACCTTCACACCGTTCCCCCACGCCATCCCACCCACCGCCATCATGCCGACGCCAGCACCTCCCATGGTGCGTACCCCAGGCAGAAATGTGAGGATAAGTAGAGCACGACTCTTTTTTTATGCAGCACGGTGGGGTTGGGATGGGCTGTTGTGGCTCAGGAGATGGATGAGAAGTGATAGCCATTTAGGTGGCTCCTGTGGCCTTGTCCATCTTTGTTGGAGAGAGGGGAATGTGCCCTGCTCCTTGGCTGTACTAACCCAGGGCCTAAAGTAGGAACTTTTTTCTAGACAGTTATATTTAGCACTGTGGATGGATCTTACTCCGGATGCCCTCAAATGGTCACATCCACTGTTGGTAGTTAACTTCTTAAAGGGTGATTTTGTTTTCTTGAGCTTCTTGGGGTATGCCACCACATATAAAAATGTACCTGTCAGTGCTTTGCACCAAGTACCAGCAAATAAGTGCTCACAGAATCCTGGGAGTCAAGAATAGGGCTGAGGAGGGAGAGAGCTATCAGGAGACTTGGACTACATTGGGTACTGCCTGCTCTTTCAGATGGCTTCCCTAAACTGACTTTGTCAGTGGTGTCATATTTCTTGTGTTTCCTAAGACAGTCCCGCAGTCTGGTATTATGCTCTGTCAGCAAGTGGTCAGGGAGCCATGCACCCTGCTGGGTCAGAATTCAGCCTTGTGGTAAGAGGTGCCACTGGCAATGATGTGGTCTTGGTCTTAACTGGTGACTTGCACATGCTGGGAGAACCAATTAGGATTTCTTTTAAATTTAAGAACTGTAATGAATAGTGTGCTGTTGAGATCCTAAAAATTCTGAGATAGGGCCGTGTGTCTGTATTAGAGTTTTTTAATTATTAATTTTTAATATTTAAGGAAATAGTGGATTTTAAGGCAATTAATATATTAAGACATTGTGAGAAGAGATTTGAATTCCCTGATTTTAGGAGGCATTCCCTTCACGAAACTTTGTATCTGCTGCTCCCTCCCCATCCTCCATGTTGTTCTACTTAATTTTTTAAAATACTTTTAAAAGTTTATTTTATAAATTTTATTTAGAAGAATATTGGAGCTGAAGCCTTGAGACTAAAAGTTTTTCCTATAGCAAATCCTGTATCTTTTTTCTGGATGAACTATACTTCTCAACAGTTATATTTTTAAGGACCTATCATTTGTGGAAGAGTTTATGCCAGCCCGAGCTGTTCTATAAAAAATTTAAACTAACTGAGGGGAGTTCCAGTGTCAGGAGGATGACATTATTTAGAGGAAACAATGGTAACTCTTTTCTGCTCAAAAGAAAGGTGATAAGACCTGGCCCAAATTGCTTTGTATTTGGCTGTAATTCATTTCAGAAGACAGCTGAATGTACAGTTTTCTGCCAAAGTGAAGATGAAAATGGAGGGAATTCTCTGGATAACTCAGACCAAATGCTTACTTCTTTCTGATTTATCTGAATAATTGCCTCTTTTCTCCAGTTTAGATGTTCGGTTTTGTGCCAATCTCTAAATATAGACTGGAAAGAAAGACACTTTGGTGTGGCCAGGATCTAAATGCACCATACGGGTTTTCACTTTGTTTTTGCATTTCTCTTGGTTTCTTGTCAGAGTGACTCAGGAGCTCAGGATGGTTTCATAGATGAGGTTATGGAGTCTGGTGACAGCACAATGACGGAGAAGCTTGCTTAGGGCTACCTCCACTGAAGCAGTGAACAGAAATGTAGATTCTCTAAGTAACTAGCTTTTGCTTTGATCCCTTTACAGTTTGACAAATACCCTACAAAAGTTGACCCATTCTACCGGCACAGTGTGAGTCTTGTTACCATGCTACACGTTTCATGTAACTGCTTGTCCACTTTTGCACTCTTGCCATAGATCAGTAAATGACTAGCAGCCTTCCTTAATCATCTTCGCAAGAATTCCCATTGCTCCTCGTCACTTTGGATGCTTGCTTTTGTGACGTTGGCTTTTGGTAAAGATGCAGTATCATCTTCTGAATCAAAAGATCATAAGCCGTCCGAAGACTTTAAAGCAAAGGTGAACTCCCCTGGAAGCCAGGCACCTGTCCTGGGGTGTCTGCAGTGGGGTCTTTATAGTTTCAGGAGACTCTGAAATCACAGGATTTGAGTCATTGATTGAAATGCCATTAACACAGAATTCCTGGAATTCAACTTGAATTATGTCCTCCAAATAGAAAGTCCCTTATCTTTTTGACTCAAAACTCTTCAAAAAGCAGATTTTTATTTCCTCTAGACTAAATGTAGACCCCTCTTCCACATGGCTGGTATTATTCTCCTGAACTTATTACAACTAAAAATACAAGTGTATTTTTAATACACTGAAATAAAATACTTTAATTAATACACTTAAATAATATACTTAAATAAAAGAAGGTCTTAAAATCAAAATGTGTATTTTTTTTCCTCTTTAAACTCACTCTTCTTCATTAAAAAAAATACTCATTTTATGCAATTTTCAGAGTACGTTCTGGAACTTAAATTGGTACCAACCTAAGTTAGATATAAAACAAGGGCTTCTTTTTATAACAAAGACCTTGAACATTTTATCATGATATTTTGATTATGGAGTGAATGCTGCATCATTTTTACCTGAAATTTTCCAAGTTTCTTTGCTCAATGGTTTATTTATATTTTTGAAACAAGACCAGAAAGGAGGAAGATTAATAACTGCTTGTAACCATGTTGATTCACCATACTCAACTATTCTTGCTTTGGTTTTTGGATAGTGTTAACTTATTATTTGAATATAAGTGCTACTTAAGAGATCAGCAAAGCCTGTGAATTCATTCCTACTTTGAACCAGATCATTAGACACTGTATTAGTCCTGAGTGTAGCTGAGAAGTCAAGACTAGAAAGATATTAGAAATCAGTTAAGAATTATACTGACTAGAGACTTTCAGAAATAACGTGAGGAAAGCCCCTTCAGAAAGGGATGAGGAAAGTGTATTTGAGTGCCTCGGCTCCCCCACTGTTCCAGCACTATTCTGCTCAGTACTGTGACACACAAGCTTTTTGTAAAGGGACCTGCAAAACACGGGAGACCTGTTGGTTTCCTCTTTGGGTCTGCCCTGTGAATGGTGCCATCCTTAATAATAATCAGATTCCTGCCCTTTGTCTATACTTACTGATTTAAATTAAGGACCAGCTAACAAAATCATTCTTAGAGAAAGTTTAGCGTGCTCAACAGGTGGCTCAGATTTATTTCCTAGGACCAAATACAGCGCCTTTTTCCATGCGTATTCTACCAAGAGTCCAAGATTTCAGATGGAGAGTAAGCCTGGAGGCCCGAATTTTGGGAAGGTTTATATTTTATTACCTGGGTACTTCAGATTTTTAGTCAAGGGAAAATAGTCAGCTGTAGTTTTAGAGGGTCAGTAATTGACTAAAGCAGAAGAAAAATGGTGAGAACATCCAATTTTGTATTGAAAACATTAAAGGAAAAATAGCTGCCTGGAGACAGAGAAATAGAAATTTGAGTGTGTTTACAGTGGCATCTATTTAATTACTCTGCTTTTTACAGTGTACTGTGGGAGAGTTATTTCATATTATTAGTTATAGCGGATAATATACAAAGTACCTAGTCTCACCTGCTTTGGGGATTAGGGCATTGTAAGGGGAATTAAGATGCAATGCACTCAAGTGTCTAAAACACAATTTTAGACTTAAAAGTAATTTTAAATGAGGGCACTTGGCTTGCAGTCACTGTTTAAGTGGATTTAGTTCAATATCAATTAGTCTGAAAAACTTTGCTGCATCATTGAAGGGAGCAAAATGAAGTAAAGACCAAAAGAAAAAGTACGTGCTCTGAAAACAGAGAGGATTGTGAAATGTGAATTTCAGTCATTACCTAGAAATAGCTAACATAAATTCATTATTAGAAAGAACTTGAATTATTGTTGTATTTTTGACGTATTATGCAACCATAGGGGTGGGCTGTTACTTAAGTATGTGTATAGTGGTTTGCTCAAAGTAAATGGAACCAGAGCAGTAGAATGTCAGAAACACTACATTTTTAGAAGGAGGAGGAGATGTGTTTGCATTGTCTTCAGTATTGCTATTTGCTTCTTTCCTCCATTGTATCCTCTGTAAACTATTAATCCAAGAAAATTCATATTCGTAATTCAGAATCATTCTTCCTTCATTGTGTTGTCAAACTTACACATCAAGGGCTTGGCTTGAGTAGCCTCCAGCGAGTTGTCCATCTTATAGAAAACTGGGTAGCTCCATTGAGTATACACTGAGCCATTTTACCCTTCCTCAAATATTTGTCATCATTTTAGATGAGACAATTAAATTGTCCTCTGGAACTGCCACTTCTAGAACAACCTAATGAAGCAAGGATTGTGAATATTTTCTCATTTCCTTAACTATTAAAAATCTAAAAGTACTAATTGAATTTTAATGGTATAAAATCCTGGAGCTCATAAAGACTTGCTTCTTTTCTGCCTTTTTTTTTTTTTCTTTTTCCAATTAACTTGTAATTTCTGGGCATCTTATTTGGCTCAGCACCCCTCCTGTTTTTGCTATGCATTAAAATCTCCAACCACTTAGGACTTCTATCCAATGTAACAATTAATAATTAGAAAAGCTCCCTGTCTCATCATGTTCTCATCTGGGACATCATTTGTTGGCTGACTGATTCTGAACTACTTTTAACTTTTTAAGTTAAGCATTCATGGCACATCTGTGTGATCATTTCATCGTGGCTTCTTGACTAATAGCATCAAACAGATTACTTGGCTTGCTAATGTTGTCTTTCTATGGGAAGAGAGTTGGAATCTATCATTTATTTGCCTCTTACTAAAATCCTTTTTCCCTCTCCATCTTTGGCCACAGCTCTTCCATTCCTACCCTCCTGCAGTATCGGGCATCCCCCCTATGATTCCGCCCACTGGTCCTTTTGGTTCACTACAAGGAGCATTTCAACCGAAGGTAAGAAACTGTACAGTGAAAACATACAGTATTTATAAGTGGAGTCTCAGGCTAGGCATGCAGGTGGGTTCTGCATCCTCTCTCCTGCCAGTGACTGATTTCTCAGATCCATAATGACCACTGGGATGAGGGTGAAAATATTTTTTCCTAGATCATCTAGTTTTAAACCTCAGCTAAAACTTAATTTTCAGTCTGTCCTACCCATGTAATCTCAGTTGAGCTAGGATTTCCTGTGCTCTTTAAAATATGTGGACTATATATATATATTTTTTCCCATTAATATTGTGGACATAAGCTTCTTTCAGGTCAGGAATTCTATGACACATCAGAGTTTTGTGCCCCAAGTTGTCCTTGAGGTATATATTATTAGCAAAGATGCAAAGGTGAGCTTTTATTGATTTTAATAGAAGGAGGAAAAAGATTCCAAACTAAAATTGTATCCTCTGAATCGTGTGAGAGAAAGATGCTTCTGCTCACTCTGCCTCGTTTCACTTCTCAGCCCCGTGTGTCTTCAGAGAGGGTCTGCCTGCCGGTGGAGGCAGCACTTGCCTGTCTGTACTCCTTCCTACCACTGTGCCCTCTCTCAGTCCTCCTACCCCTCAGCCATGGTCACACTTGCCAAGGTCAAGACTAACGTCCTAGTGTGAAAGTAACCTTTTACCCTTTATAATAACTCAATTCTTTCCTACCTAGTCAGTGACATGCTACTCAGCTTGGGCCAATGTTGAGGAGTAATTCTCAGAATACTCTGCCTTTTTGTGACTTTAAATCTGTGACAGCCCCTATTTTACCTTCTTAAAAAACAAAATGAATGTACTTCTCATGTTAGTGACCCTTCTCAGATTTTAAAGTAGGAAATTTTGTTGTGTGTGATTTTTGTTTTCTTTTTTTTTTTCCCCCATCTCATTTCTAAGATAAAACACCAAATTTGGGCCATAGTCTCCCAGGATGAGCACATATTGCATTTCCAAAGGCATGTTACCTTAAAATTAGAAATAGGAAAATAAATTAAAAAGCATAGGGGTGGAATGGCTACACCTTAGAAATCGCATTTACCTGCGTGGAATTGCAGCTCATATGCCAGGTGATATATATGCAGGGCTCTTAGGATGGCCGTGGTAAACACCTCCTATCTTGGGATAAAATGATAATGGTTTTTAAACTCCTTCCCCCTGATCTGCACTTTACTACTCCCTCAGACCCTGGTCTGTCCCCTCTAGGTTGCAACAGATCTCTAGTGAATCCCCAAATAGACTGGTAGGTCATTTAATAAATTAGACTGTTTCCCTCACTCACAATTATCCAATCACACAGAAAACTACATCTGGGCAAGAAAGTGTCTCTCCTGGTGTTGAAATAGGCCTTTCCAGGCCATCTTACTGATTGAATATGTAGATTGCGGTTCATTAGTGGAGTTCTTCATATGTATGCAAATCAGGCTGTTAACAACTCCAGCTTAATTGTTAGTTGTACAGCAGCTGATTGCTTTTCTTCCTTTCATTCTTTTTTTTTCTTCTCCTTATAGGAAAGCTTCGTGCCTAAACTTGAGCTCTTTTTCCACACTAGTTAACTTCCAGTGTGAGGGGATTCATAGGAGTTATGATTTCTTAAATAAAATGCCTGGTGAAAATTTCTCTGATTCTCCCCACTGGAAAGTCATGACTGCCTGTGCCTGAAGTAGGCTTTTGTTGTTGTTGTTCGTTCAGAGGACAAAAGCCTGCAGAGAAGGTTATTGTTATTAATGACACTTAAGAATGGCGGTGGGAATAGGAGAGATGAAGCAGAATTACTTTGGAAATCAGTTAATAGTAGATCTATGTGGTCCCTAAATTAGGTTCTCTTGTCCCATTTCCACCACTGCTAATGAGTAATTACTGAGTGTAATTTCTTGTTATTGTCTGTCAGTTAAAATGTAGAGAGTTAGCTTAATATCTATAAAAAACTCTCAGTTATTCTGATGAGAAGCACCTGATACAGCAAATTATAATGATGTTCACTTAAGCATCTCTTGGAATGTTTGGTGATAAAGCAAAAAACACAACGACAGAGCTGTCAGTAACTTGGAAGAAGATGGATTTCGGGGCAGCACTTGCTTGTATTGCTTCTCTTCTTTGGTCCTTTACTTTTTATTGCAGTGAAATGTGGTGCCGTCCACCTCTCTGTTTTCAGATGCCATTGCTGGAGAGGGCAATCCCTGGTCAGGGTCTCTTGAGAGCATAGGGAGCAGGACCTCATGAAGAGCAGGTGTGATCACTGAGAGAAATGAACCTGTTAACTCTTATATTCCAGAATGAAACAAAAAGTACTGTTTGACTTCTATAATTTATAGTGAAAGAAAGACCTTACTTTCATGTCCCATATCATATGCTCCCTAAGCTGTGATCTAATTAATTTGTAGACATCCAACCCTATCGATGTTGCTGCTCGACCTGGGACAGTCCCACACACTCTACTCCAAAAGGACCCGAGGGTACGTACAGGTTTTGTCTCGGGCAACACTAGGGCACGTTGGTCTGCAGAGGACAGCTAACCCAGTGCGTGCACCCTCCTTAGCTCATCTGAGCGAGCCGCTATTTTAACTATTACTTCTAGTTTGTGGGAGAAAGTGCCAGCCAGTTACTTTTAGAAAACAAAATCTCTGCTGCCTGCTACAGCCATATGACACTTGCCTAGGGGAGGAAAGAGGAATTGATGATGGTCTAAGCCCAGAAATTGGACACTGTTAGCTTGTGTAGATTCTACTTGACCAGTCTTCTCTGTCCGCATCTCGTTAAATTTCTCTGACACAAAAGAAATAGCTGTAAAATGTTTTGAATGGGGAAGCCCTAGGAGCTTTTCTTCCTGGAAGTCAGGACACATTCCCCGCTTGCCTGGGGTCAGGAAGTCACTGTACCACACAGCTCCTCTGGCCCTGTACTTTCCATGTGGTAAGGATCCTCGTTTGCTCTAGAGCTAAATAAAATATCCGTTACGTGTTGGTTATGTTATTTATTCATAATGTATACCTCTACCAACTCTCAAAAAGAATTTGAAGTTCTACAATAGATAGAATCTTGTGTCAGTGGTTGTTATTTACATTCATCTTCGTAGTAAAATGTGAAAAAATGATCACCTTTTACAATATTGTCTTTTTCCCTGGGTAAGGGCAGTCAGAGATTGATGACCAGAGTTAGGTAGGAATTTAAAATGACTCAACTATGTAAGTATTTTGATGATGTTTCGTGAACTTACTTGAAATGTCTGGTATCTCTAAGTAATGTACAGTCGTGGAATTAAGGGTCTTGGTAAAGATAGCCTCGTTCTACTGGATGTCTGGAGAAGACAACCCTCCGATACCCACTAGCATCCAGCCTTCCCCATCTAGGTCTGAGGGCTGTTCTGCCTCTGACTTGTTGGGAGTGGTTTGGAAGGGCTGCTCAAGAGAGTGAAACTCCTCAGATGTGTAATGTGAGCAAATCATGTTGCCAGAGGGCAAATTGCTATTGATTAAACTTGTTCAGGGGCTTGTCAGTGTAGATGTACCAAGGCTTGTGAAGTGGGGGAGGGGACACTTGGCACTTTTGATGGTGTGAAAATGGGCTAATTATTCTCTAAAAGGGCTTCATTTAAAAGTAAAATTCTAACATTTTAATTTCCCCTCCTAATGAAGCACTACAAATTTGTTAATTAGAGCAATTGTTTGAGTGACAGGCATGTAACCAAGTTGTCATTTTCTCTTCACAGTTGACAGATCCTTTCAGACCTATGTTAAGGGTAAGAAAGCTTCTTCCAGAACTGTTTTGCAACCTCTGTTTGACTCCCTGTGGGTTAAAAATAAAATCCATTACAAAGAAACAAGCCGTAGAAACTTTGGAATAAAATGTTGGAATGACAGTGGTTGGGTTTTTCAAGTAGTCTGATTGCAAATGGCCTAAATTGTTGTGCTTTGAGTGTTGGAGGAGGCCAGTCCCTTGAGGTGAAGCTAACAGATAAAATTTAACCAAGTCAGATTCTCTTTGTTAGCAGTTCTGGTAAAAGATTTTAGTGGGACTTAAGGGGAAAGACTTAGGCTGTAGGCTGAAATTAGGATTTCACTGAGTTCTACTGGCTCTCTTATACCTAGAAAATATATACTGGGTCCGTTTGTTTTTGCTGGTGGCTACCTTATTCTGCATTTAGTGATGTTGACTTGTCACAACCATTCGACCTGTTTCTCTGGTGCAGAAAAGGACTACTATAAGCATTGGTTTGTTAACATCTTAACAGGTCTGGAGAGTGGCCAGCAGATGACCTCTGAATAAATGCTGACTGACTTGGTGGTGGAGGAATAGGGAGTGATGGATGATTGAATGGAAGATGGATGGATAGTAGATTTCCTGCCGTACTTAACCCATTTCTGCAGCACATAATCAGATATTTAATTTCTCCAAAGGGAAAAAAAACGAGGATTGTGTCATCACTTAGGTGATTTCAGATGACTCGTAATTTCATTACAAAAGGAGAGAACTGACCCCAGACTTGGATTTAAGTATATATTTCGGAAACAGCTCTTTAATATAGAAACCAGAAGCATCTGTCTGTTGCCGACATAGGAATGGAGCAGTGTTTCTTCTCATCCATCCTGGAGTTACTGAGCACACATTCGGAGCTTATGAGTAGATTACATAGCAGGAGTACAGATGAAATAGAAAGAGGTGGTCCCTGCTCTCCAGGTGATAAGACAGACTACACTCAGAGTTTCTCCACTGCTAATAAAGCAAGACATGAAATAATTTGAGACATAGATTGATATTTTCCCAAAGGCTGGAGGAGGGACTTGATAGCTGCAGAGGACTAGAGAAGTAGAAAGGAATGAGTTCTCGGTTCTTTTTTTTTTTGCTTAGAACTGAACAATGCCCACCAACATGAGTGGGTAGTTGACTCTTATTGAAGCACTTGTGGGAACTGGGCTTCTGTAAAAATGTAGTGAATTTCTTTGTTCCACTTTGGGGGTTAAAAACAGCCAGTGTTGGGGGAGGTAAGCAGGTTCTGTATCCTCTTGTTTTGAACTGATTCACAACATTCATTAATTAGCCCTTCTGAACAGCCGATTTGCATTACAGCATGGCCACGTTTGTTAAAGAGGGCTTCCCACTCTACCAGGTCTGCCAGCTGGCACCAGAAAAGAAAGAGAGAAGAGAAACAAAATGGGGGTTGGGGCTTTTGCCGTCTTATCCTTGGTAACCAGCGAGGGCCCCGTGAAGGATGGTTTTCTGAATCATGGCCACCAGCTCGGGCTCCCAAGGGAGGAGAGATGGAGCTGACTGTGGCTCCCTCAGGCTTGGGCCCTGAGGCTGCAGAGAGAAGGCGCTCGAGGGTACAAAGCACTCTTGTTTCATGAAACAAGCCACTACAGCCAAAATCTGCTGAAAGCTTTGGGGAAATTGAAAGTGGTTTTCTCTGAAAGGCCTTCTTTCTGACCATGGTGCTCTTTCTTGTTCCAGAAACCAGGGAAGTGGTGTGCTATGCATGTTCACATTGCCTGGCAGATCTACCACCACCAACAGAAAGTCAAGGTCAGTCTTGCCTTCCTCATCTTGAGGGTTGGGAACGGGGGCATACGGGAGTGTGATCTCCCAATTAAGGAGGCATTTAAACAGATTCTAAAGACCCATAGGCAGGAAGGCTCAAGTCTCTCTTGGAAAAGCTATTCGAAAATCTTACTATTAATTAGGGAGACTACCAGCATGATGACAAAACAGGAGCAAATGATAATCCCTGATGTTTTTCTTTCCTTTTTTTTCAAAGGATTTTGTCATCTCATTGATCCAGAGAGCTGAACTATAGATTAAATCCTAAAGTAAAGGTTTTGGAAATCTAATTATAGTGGCCAGGTATTAGTATGGAAAATATTTAGTATCTGGGAAGAGCTATATATGAAAGTTTTCTTTTCTCTAAGAATTGATGCATTCTTTTCATTTTATGGCTTTGGAAACATGATAGACTAATTTATGCCCTGTACGATGCTACTGAACTTCCATTAGCAATGCATATTATTAAAAATTCCTCTTCTAGAAGTAGTGTTTGGTTTGCAGTGACGGTTCCACACCCTCCTTAGTCCTCCTGATGACCAGTACCAGAGGTCAGAATACAGGCAGTGAATACAGGCAGATCTAACAGCCAGTATTTGTTAGAACTGCTGTCTAGCAGATTACCTTCTCTGTCCACATGATTGTTCTTTGTTGTCTGTACTTTCGTCCTGTGGATGAATACATTCCATGTTCCACCGGGTCTTTATGACACAATAGAGAAGAGATGAAAAATTTCTGCAGGTGACCAGATATGGCCTCCTTGGTTGTTGGCTCAGGGAACAAAGTAACTAAGAAGTCAAGATTTTACAGTTTGTAACTCTGCCCAGAAAAATAGGAGAAAACAACCAATCAAGTAATTCCAGTAAGCTTCAGTTAATCCGTTTGTTCATGAACAAGCCTTTTGTCCTAACAACATTTGGGAGCCATCATGAGAATAATAAAAGAGGCCAATAAACAAGGAGTGAGAGCTAGTCATCACAGAAATGTTTTTTTTTTTAAATGGTCAAATGATATTTAAAAAACCAACCTAGTTAAAAGTTAAAGAGCCAACCTCAGTAAATGAGGTCACTCCAATATTTTGCTTTGGTGCCAAATACCTGCTCTTTCTCGTAACATCCCATCAGTGAGTTTTGCTCACTTTTACTTTATTGTTAGGTGAGGTTTATTAGAAAGCTTATGGTTTAGCTTAGTTAGAAAATGTATGTGCTTTGAAGAGCTAACTAGATTTTGATGCTTAGTTCAATTCACTCTGTTCTGGATGATGTGGTTAGCGGAACAGTAGGTAAGACACATCCTCCTTGTAACTCCTTTGGTTAAAAGCATTGAAGGATGTTGTAGGTACCATTTTAGCAACTTCTTTTCCTTGGAAGTGTCCCCAGGGACTAAAACTTTCATTATCTCAATTCAATTAAGAAGACCTCTTGCACATGAGCTAACTGTTCATCTTCCCTTTCCAGCAAACTATTTGTAATCCCCAGGCTCCATTTTGCTTCATGGACCTAAGTTGTGGTTAATGGAACTGTGCTGTGTACCGTGCAATATTAGCACTAAATAATTTGGCAACCAAATTAAAAGAGGCACTCAAAAGATTTTATAGATTTATAGTGAATTACAAGCTTTGTTGTGGGGTTTGGCTATTAGTTTCTAGTGGGACTGTCATGGTAGCATTCCCTGTAGCTTTGAGCAGAATTTGTCTTGTCCCCTTTCAGTTTAATGGTCATTTACTCATTCACTTAGTCCCTTACCAAATAGTTAGTGAGAGAGCCTACCACCTGCAGGTTCCTTAGCGTGGCAGGCTCAGAGGGCATTCATCTGTCCTGATGTCTCATTGCTTAGAGTCCAGTAGTGAGGATCAGTGTGTGCATAAAAAATGATGAACTTGCTGTCCACTTCCAAGGGGTATTGCTTCCAGCTTGAGGTCTCAGGTAGGTTTCCTTTTAAATGGGTGTGATGGATGAGTGTGACCTTCAACAGTGAGGGAATGGCAACCTTCCCTTGTCTCTGATTCTCGCACATGCTTGATCAGATGCCTCCTTGTTGACTTTATTGGACAATGGGACAAGGATTTACTTATAGCAGAACATGAGGGAGTTTGAAGGAGATGGAGCCAAAAAGATGGAGAGCTTCAGATGAGTCTAAGAGGTTGGAGGAGCAAGAGTCAGAAACAGACCAGGGGCCATGAAGGAGGAGGAGACTGGAAAGCAGAGAGGTAGTGACCAGGGAAGGGAAACATGGACCTCTGGACCCCAGGCCAGGATGGGGGTTGGTGCTTGTCTGGGGATGTGTGAAGCCAGTTCAGAGAAGGCTATTGAGAATCAAGAAGGTGAGACAACCTTGAAACCACACTGTTTGAGTGGGCTGCCAACCCCAAGAATGATGCCAGGGTAAGGAATCAGGAGGATGATGATGAGCCACTTTCTACAACCTTAGAGGAAGCCGAGCTTGAGGGTGGATATGTAAATAAGAGGAAATAGAGTGAGTGCAGTTGACGGCAAGGACTTCACAACAAGAGAGGTTCTTAATGGTTGACTGTCCTTACTGATCTCCTCTCCCTCAGGTAATTGGGGGTAGTAGGCAAAGAAAAGACCCATATTAGTCAAATTAATATCCATGCTTTGTTTCTGTTTATTTTTTCTTTTTAAAAAAATAGGTAATGATCGTTTGAAAATTAGCTTGTAGGCATGCAAATATTTCTTTATAACTTGCAGTTACTAATGTACTGTGATCTATTAGAGTGTGGCAAAGAGTCATTAAACAATTAATTTACAGAGCAGATTATTCATGCAGAATTCCTAATAAAATGAGCTTTAAAATAACTATCATTTCAGAACTTGCTACAATGGGCCTTTAAGGCGAATAATAAACTATTTCAGAATAGTGGTGGTTTGAATAAATTGGACCTCAAACACTGATTTCACTACTTGACATTTCTGACATGAGAAACAGGTATTGCCCAGTAACAGGCACTATTTACCCTGCTTAGGTTGACCTGCTTTTCTGGCATTTGAGGGTTTAATGATTGTGGGTTGCTCTGTTCCTCACAGCATTTGTAAACTTGACCCTGACTGGGGCTCGAAGTCCGAGTGAGCCATTCACAGAGTTACTCTCTCTGTCTCAGCCTCTTCATTAATATCTTTCTTCCCTGCCGTTTCTCTTGGGATTTCGTCTTTTATTTTTTCATCGCTGCTCTAGAAACAGATGCAGTCAGACCCACATAAGCTGGACTTTGGACTGAAACCTGAGTTCCTGAGCCGTCCTCCAGGCCCCAGTCTCTTTGGAGCCATCCACCACCCCCATGACCTGGCACGGCCTTCGACTTTGTTCTCTGCCACTGGTGAGTTCAGAGGGGCAGGGAAGAACTGAGAAGTGTAGTTCTCCAGTAGCTAAATAAATCACATTAGTGCTCTGGGCCACCGCTCAGTCACTCCCTAAAAAAATACAATTTATGCCAGTTTGCAAGGCAACATCACAGCACATTTAGGGAGATGGACCCTTTTTCATTGATATGCCCTCTTTCATTAAAGGAGGAAAAAAAGATCATCTTTCCCTTAGGGGACTCATATTGCTTCGGCTCATTATTTGCTTCTATATTAAACCAGTATAACTCACAAGCATGTCAAATACTATTGAAAAAGATCAGAAATCTTGCAAGGGCGAATCGGAAGGAAATAATGGCAGGAACTGTATAAGGATGTGGTTGCCCTTACTGTCGGTGCCCACAGAGGACTCAGTAATTTTGCACCGTGATGCTCAGTCATGCTGTGTTTTGAAGGTCTGAGGATAAAGAAATACAATTAAGATTGTTGCTGGTGATATGGTCTGTGACAGGAAGGATGAATCAGTTGGTTACTGGTTTTCTCTGCTGCAGAAATTAATATTCTTGCCTGGTTGGTTGTAATGAGGCAGGAAGTTTAGGGGACAGCGTGTAAAAACCCAGAGAGATCTGTGCATTAACCTCTGAGAATACACACTCCCGAGTGCCTCTTAGGTCTGCCAAAGTGAGGGGATGGAGGAACACTGCATCAGATAACCAGGTGCCTACAAACAAAAGGCAGTGGCTACAAGGAGTATTAGGGAGACAAGAGCAACCCTCTTGCTATCATTCCATCTTTTCTAAAGCTATTTTCGGTGCACAATGCCTGGCACAGGGCTCCACTTGGTCACACCAGGAAATGACAACACCGAGCTCATTCTAGTGATGAGCTCTCTGGCTTCATACCCACTGCTGTGCTGAGTAGAATTTACTCTTCTGGACATACTTATGCAAGGGACTTCATGTTTCTAGCCGTGAGGGAACAGGTTTCGCATCCTGCCTGCCTGCTGCCTTCCTGGGCTTTTATCCAAGACTTATTTTTGGTGGACCTGAGGCTCTTCCATTCTGGAAGAGAGAAACTCCCACATTGCAAGAAATCATCATTTTAATGGGCCTTGTGGCCAAAGCAAGTGAATCACCCTTGAGGGTAAATGGAATTTGCTAAGGTCTCAGGTTCTTCTCTGTCAGTTCTGTCTAGGGACATATTTGAAGGCTTTGTTACCATGGCACCTAGGCTCTGAGACAGGGCTATGAGCAATTTTTGGAGAGAAATAGAGAGATTTCTCCCTGGCTTTCATTTGAGCCAAGTGGATGAATTGGCTTCTTTTGCTTCAATAATTCTGGAACTGCAAGGCACCCCTGGGGGCTCTGGGCTCCCATCTTCATCGAAGCATTAATTAGCTTGTACTACTACACAGACACCATGCAGCCAAATTTTTGTTTAGCTGGCAACACTGTTAACACCTAATGAATATGCCAGGCTGTATTCATTCTAAGGGGACGGGATATCATTTTTGCACTTTTTGTGTAGAGAATAAGTCACCATCTAGGGCTGAACAGACAGCTCCTCAGATGCCTTTCCGTTCTGAGATGCCGTGACTGTGACAGGTTTTCTCCAGTGCTGGGTCACGTCCTCCACATCCCAGATCCACAACGCCCTTGCCGTCTGGGGAACAATATCCTGAACTATCAATTGAGTTAATAGGGTGTTGGGAGGGACGACCCCCCGCTGTTTAATCTATATTCCTGAAGGAATGTATACTTGTTTATAGGAACTTGGTCAAAATGCAAGGGATTATGGATTAGTTGTTAGTAAATTCGTTCAGGCCTTGTTTATACTTCCATTCTGGAAGGTAATCTTTTCCAGTGTAAGCAATACTGGATTTTGCCCAAAATGGCTATTTGGGGAAACTTTTAACTGATATGTATAATTTACACATACTTGTTAAATTCAGCCACTTTCATCTTTCTGTGGGGCACTAATGCCTGAAATAAACTAAAGATGCTTCTTCAGATGACCTTGGCCAATCTCTTGTCTAGAGCCAAGCCTGCCTCCCAGAGAGCTTGCCTCCTCGGCTCTCAGCCGCATATTAACAAGCTGGCTTGATGCCCTAAGCTCTTAGAAATACTGTCCTTCCCTAACTCACATGTACACACTCTCCATCTCGCTGTCTTTCCCTCTTTCCTTTCCCAGCTTCCGTCAAGGAAAGGATGTGAGGCATCTTAAAGAAATACATATTGTTTAAGGCAAATATGAAGTAGAGGAGAAAATGTGGATAATGGGAAAACCAGAGGAAAGAAGACCACTAAGTTAGACCTGAGTTCCCTAGCGGGTAAAGTAAAGACTAATAGAGGCAGTTATAAGGTTAATCATGTCCAAAGCCATGAATAACCCTAGCTTTTCCTGGCACTGAAGATTGAGAGAAATTGGAGGACGTCATCTCCCATAACCAAATGTAACTCCCAACAGTGAGTTTCCCAGGGCCGGGCTTTATAGTATCCTTCAGTGCAGGTCCGTGGCAGCTAACACATTTTCAGGAAGAGATTCTGCAATGGCCCAAAGCAGTGCAGCTCAGATATGCAACTTCATGACAGCTGCTCCTAAGCCAAAGATTATAAAGTGTACAGTTTCTGGAACAGTGTTTCTCAGAGTGAAAGCCTTGCCCCCTGAGATGCTCTATGAAGAAAGTATTCTGTGGCCAAATGTTCCCCTCTCAGAGCATGAGTGAGCCCATGAACATATTAATGGCTCTTAGTCCTTCAGTAAAGAACCTTGCTTAACATTTTTTACCTTGGCATTTCTCCAAACTTATTTGGTTGTAGAACCCTCACCCTCCTGGCAGTGTTTCGTGCTGTTTCTAATACTGTGTGTCAGCATCTTTAAAAAGTGAGATCTCTTTTTGGTGGTGGCCAGCCTAGCTTGGAAAGAAGAGAGGGGGTGACTTATGGTCTGCTTCCTAACAAGCACATTTCTTTTTCACCAGTGTATTGCCTGAGTGGATGTCAGCCATGTCCTTACTTTAACATTCTCAGGGGGTCCTTAGGCAACTAGGAGCCAATTGCGCTGTAGAAGTTGGCTTTCTGTGAAATATAATTCCATTATGTTTGACTTACTAGGTGCTGCACACCCAACTGGGACTCCTTTTGGGCCACCTCCTCATCACAGCAACTTCCTTAACCCTGCTGCCCACCTTGGTGAGTTGCCATCAGTGATGGGAAATGATGTGTGTATTCCGGAAAACCTTTGTTTACTGCACTCCTACTGCACTTCCTGGCAAGTTGGCCAGTGTCGTAGACACCTCACTTACTACTTAGGGGGATGAGGGTCTTCTGGTAGAAGTTTGAATACAGGCCATCCGTCTTCAGGATGTCAGCACCTCTTACACCACATTTTAAAGTCGTAGATCTGTGCTCAGTGGCTGCTCTGTCTGAAATTACTGAGGGTGCAGTGGATGAAAGCTATGCCCTCGTACCTCAGGGAGTCCACATTTACAACAGCCTGCTCCTGCCCATTGGAGGAAGATGGTGAATTCCTGCCCCATATCTAAGGGCACCCCCAGGAGCTGGAAAGAAAGACAAGATGATGATATAAAGAGACATTACACATTATTTTCATCACTTCACATTTCACTGCCCTATTAACATGTCTCTTCCTAGTAAAGGCGCATGCTTTATTTGTGGCCTTTGTTTATTTGATGTTTTCTGCAAGTGTACAAGCAAATACAGGCAATGATATGCCCGACGACAGGGTCTATAACACGTGTACCTTCACAATTTTATCATTGAGAGATTTATTTTAAGATGTCATCTTATTTCTATTCTGTTAGAGCCTACAGAGCACATTCCCAGAAGAGGAGAGACAGAGCAGGAAGGCGTCCTAGAACACTGTGGCCTGAGTAATGCTCCCCACCTGGCAAAAGAGAAATGGGGCAAAATGCACAGTTCTGGAAAATAGCTCTCATAAATATTTTGCTAACTCAATGCCTAAATTCAAGTGCAGTGAAATCCTTTTGCATAATCTGGTGGGAGAAGTGGGACAGATCAGGTCTGAGTATAGAGAGGGTAAGGATCCCACATCACTTTCCCCAGTTCCCAGGAAGCTCTTATGCCCCTCACTCAATAGTGGAACCATTTCCTTCTTCCCAATCTTGTTTGCAGAGCCTTTTAATCGGCCGTCTACATTCACTGGCCTAGCAGCAGTTGGTGGCAATGCCTTCGGGGGACTTGGAAACCCTTCAGTTAGTGAGTACCTCTAACTTTTAAAAATCTGCCTTGGACTATTTATCTCTTCTAATCTGTCTGTGGCTCAAGACCCTTCTAAATAAAAGGAAACTATGCTCTGGGGAAATAAATTTAGGTTATATCATTGCAAAAGCAGGCCTACACAATGGAGTTAGGTATCAGTTGAATTCACATCAAAACCAACATTTTAAGGATAGCCTACTGTTAATATATGTTACTGAGGGTCAGGAAAGGTAATGTAGTTGATTAAACTCCAAACAGTTTGCTTAAGTTCATAGTTTCATCCATATTCCATCTCTACTATCCCAGACTTTAGCTATAGCTCCCATTAAAAGTGAAAACAACTTTTAAATTTCATTTGCCTTTGGCATTAGATTGAAAAATCTCCGTGAAGTAGCAGGCAAACCATACCAGGCTCGTGATAGTCAAGGGTTGGCTTGACTAACATTTTGTACTCTATAATATGGGAGGACTATGGAGTTTTGTACTACTCAGAAGTCTGTATAGACCAGGAAAAGAGTCGCAGAACCTGCTCATGTTCTAAACATTATTAGGTCACTAAATACTCAAGTTGTTTTCTTTCGTGCCATCCATGTATCATATTCTTGGGGTACAGGAGGCCATAAATGCAGCTCCAAGCATACCATCACAGTTTCAGTTAGTGTGGAGACGTTATGCGTCTGTGTATGTCAAGGCCCTGTCTGGTCTCTGATGATACTTGTTTTAGTTTGTTAAAGTTATGGAAAGAGGAAGAGTCACGTTGGCAGGATTGTAGTGGGCAGAGGATAACCCTGAATTCTACTCTGATTTGAACATTATTAATCTAAGTCACACCATTAAAATACACCCTTCTGCATGCTTGGGACTTTGCATGCGCCAGATATGTTTGATTAGGTCATCGTGACACCTGTTTGGTCCCTTTCCTTTTTAATCTCCCTCCTCCCACCCCTTTGCCTTTGGTTTAAAAAAAAGCTGAGAGCTACCTCTCCAGTGTAGGACAAGAGTTCCTCTAATGAATTTGTTAATCTCCTTTCCTTTTCCAGCTCCCAATAATATGTATTCATTTTAACTCTGAATGCTGTTAAAAGTTTTTTGGTAAGTACCTTCATTACAGCAGATTATATAATTTCTCTTAAACCTTTTTGTTCTCCACTTCACCATTTCAGCACCCAACTCAATGTTCGGCCACAAGGATGGCCCCAGTGTGCAGAACTTTAGCAACCCTCACGAACCCTGGAACCGGCTGCACCGAACGCCTCCGTCGTTCCCGACCCCTCCGCCCTGGCTGAAGCCAGGGGAGCTGGAGCGTAGCGCGTCCGCTGCAGCTCATGACAGAGATAGAGATGTAGATAAACGAGACTCATCTGTTAGTAAAGATGACAAAGAAAGGTACGGAAAGAAACCCGTTGCTCTCGAGTCCCACTGGGGGAGCCCGCTCTGTGCCAAGGACCGGCCATCCACCCTCCCTCTCCCAGCCTCGTGCTCAGCTGGCCCCGTCGCCTCCACTCCTCACACAGCCAGGGCCCACACCCCAGGCCCCCGGAGCCCCGAAGTGCTCACCCTCTGGCCCGTAGTGCCTCGTGACTGTAGAATAGAATCACAGCGTAGCAGAAGATTCCTGAGTTAGAAGCAGCTACACATGTAAAAGCTCCAAAGTCCCTGTGAGCACTAATGTATCCAGATACGAGTCTTTCTCCAAAAGACAGTGAGCTGGAGCTGTGAGCCGAACACACACAGCATGAATCAATACCATCTTTGCTTTCCAGTTCGTGCAGTCCATTAAATCATCCATAGGTTTTGCTCTCTTTCTCTCTTTCTTTTTATTTTCTTTTAGAAAGTCATGTTTGTATTGTCTCATCATATTTTTCTCAAATTTTGTTCAAACTCAAATCCTGGGCTCACAGATGACTGATAAAATTTTGCTAACCTAGATTTAGAGAAACATCAACAAGCATTTTTGGTTTTGGTTTTGTTTTGCCAGTGGATAATTAATTTTACTAACCATTTTGATCTCTGTACTTGGTAACTCATGCCTAAAAAAGAAGTTGCCTTAAAGAGGAAAATGTCTTACAGTATTTTTTCTGAAGAATGTCATAAGCATTCTTGACAAAGTGTCCCTGTTTTTTTCTTCAGGCTATTTTCATTTTGAGCGAATTGATAAGGAATACGCAAGATATGCTAAACAGAAAGCACTTAATAATTTCCTTTTAGTACTTAAGACTCAAATATAATCCAAATCTTTAATTTTTATTTACAGTATATACGTATAGTGTGTGTGTGTGTTCGTGTGTCCGTGTCCGTCCGTCCTAGTGATTTTAGAAAATTCAGCTTTGCAGTCTCTAAATGTGGCAGTAAGTAGATATTCATCATAGACCATCATGCTAATAGATTTTTTTCTTATACAAGAAAAAGAAAAATTTTCCTTCAATGTAGTATGATGATAATCTCTTAGCCAATGGGAAGACCGATTATGACCCTCAGCTCTGAGCTGTAAACTGAAAAAGTGAGGCACACCTGCAGTGGGCATAGCTCAAACCAGGGCTCTCTTTAGACATGTCAGTGAAGAGAAAACAGGATGTGGCAGCAAACCTTTTCACAGTTTTTTTGATGGAGTCAAAATGGCCTCGGGTTAAAATCAGGAAACCTAATAAAATATACTCTTCTTTATCTTACCTTTTAAAGATGTTCTTCTTCTTAGCTTTTGCATGTTGGCTAACAACGAACTTTGTAGGGGAGACCTTAATTCTCACCATGGCTGCCTCACCTTCTGAGCTGTCACTGAGCCGGCATGGTGTCCGGCTTCTCTCTCTACCTTGGCTAAGTCTGTCTTGGGGCTGTCCCTAAGGCTCGCTGGATTCTTAGTCTGACCTCTTCAAGTTTTGCCTTATTGTCATTCTGTTGCTTTACATTTTCCGCCCAGTACTCGTAAGTCCCCGCCCAAGACAGGTCTCTAAATTATTCTTCCACATTCCCTTCACAGATGCTCTTGCGGTGGTTCTCGATTTCCCCATGAGGTTCTGTGTCTATGGACCTGCTTTTCCTCCTGGCTTCCCTCCGCCTTCTCATCAGATTTTAGCTTTCTTATTCTTCCTAATGCAAAAGTACTTTTTGCAACCCGAAAGTCCTGAAATTGTGGTTTCCTTTCACACCCTCCTGTCATACTACATCTTGGAGATTGCTCCATATCCACCTTCTTTACTCTGGAATCTTCTTTTATCCAGATGTCGGGAGAGAGGAGCTCCCTCCCATATTATTCATGTTAAACTCTTCCTCCCACCGGCTTTGTATTGTTAATTGGACGAAAGGTTGTATTCATGTTTGGGCTCTTAAAGCTTTATTCATGATACTAAATGATCCTTAGAATCTAGCCAGACAGGTTGTATTGCCACGTCACTAACTTATTGGCCACATTGGTCCATTTCGGCTTTCTGAAAGCCCTTCCTCTGTGGTCTTGATTGAGGCACGTGACTCAGACATACAGAAAGAATTCTTTTTCCCCCTCAGACTGCCCCACTCACCCTCATCCCTAGCACTTCACCCCCATAAAGCTTCCTCTACAATCTAGGTCAGTCGGACCAGGGTGGCTGGTATCCGGCTGCCTCGATGACCACGGGAAGCAGCCCCGAGCCTGTCCTTTTCACACCACCATCTCATTGGCAGCCCTCGCCAGGCCGACAAGCCCATTTCATTTGCTTCCTTGTTTCCCTCTTCCCCACTCAGGGAAAGTGTTGAGAAGAGACACTCCAGCCACCCTTCACCAGCACCTATCCTCCCGGTGAGCACCCTGGGACATAACCGCAGCTCCACTGAACAGATCAGGGGTCATTTGAACACTGAGGCTCGAGAGAAAGAAAAATCCAAAGAGAGGGAGAGAGACCACTCGGAATCCCGTAAGGACCTGACTGCCGATGAGCACAAGGCAAAGGAGGGCCACCTACCTGAGAAGGATGGCCATGGCCACGAGGGGCGAGCCGTGGGCGAAGAGGCCAAGCAGCTGGCCCGGGTGCCATCACCCTACGTGCGGACCCCCGTAGTGGAGAGTGCCAGGCCCAACAGCACCTCGAGCCGCGAGGCTGAGCAGCGCAAGAGCGAGCCAGCCTACGAGAACCCCAAGAAGGGCTCAGAGGTCAAGGTGAAGGAGGAGCGCAAGGAAGACCATGACCTGCCTCCGGAGGCCCCACAGACCCACCGGTCTTCAGAGCCACCTCCTCCAAACTCCTCGTCCAGTGTGCACCCGGGGCCCTTGGCTTCGATGCCCATGACGGTGGGGGTGACAGGAATTCACCCCATGAACAGCATCAGCAGCCTGGACAGGACTCGCATGATGACTCCTTTCATGGGCATCAGTCCCATCCCTGGGGGAGAGCGGTTCCCGTATCCTTCTTTCCACTGGGACCCCATACGGGACCCTTTGAGGGATCCCTACCGAGAACTTGACATCCATCGGAGAGACCCGCTGGGCAGGGACTTTCTGCTGAGGAACGACCCTCTCCACCGTCTCTCAACTCCCCGGCTCTACGAAGCTGATCGCTCCTTTAGGGACAGGGAGCCTCATGACTATAACCACCACCACCACCACCACCACCACCCTCTGTCTGTGGACCCTCGGCGGGAACATGAGCGAGGGAGTCACCTGGATGAGCGGGAGCGCTTGCACATGCTCAGAGAGGACTATGAGCACACGCGGCTCCATTCTGTCCACCCTGCCTCCCTCGATGGACACCTCCCCCACCCCAGCCTCATCACCCCCGGACTCCCTAGCATGCACTACCCCAGAATCAGCCCCACCACGGGGCACCAGAACGGACTCCTCAACAAGACCCCGCCCACGGCAGCGCTGAGTGCGCCTCCCCCGCTCATTTCCACGCTGGGGGGCCGCCCAGTCTCTCCCAGAAGGACTACTCCTCTGTCGGCGGAGATCAGGGAGAGGCCCCCTTCCCACACTCTGAAGGATATTGAAGCTCGATAAGGAGAGCGTAGGACACGGAGAGGAAGAAGAACCTACACCCACACAGCACCAGACTTTAACCAGAGGGCCCGAGCGAGCGAGCGAGCAGACTCCGGCTTCCTTATTAACACAGACTGAGGGGCTCTCTGAGAGGTCCCCAACTCTTCCCTTGTAAAAAATGTATAGACTCAGTGCAGATTTTGAAATGTTTTTGTATATTATACGTTGAAATTTTTCAGATCTTTTAGCCAAGTCATATGTTCTCATGTCTCCTCCTCTTTTGGGTTGTCTTATAAGACTTTTTGATTTGAACCAAAACAGTGAAGATGACAACACACACCAATTTGTTAATAATTGGGGGGAAAAGAAACAGTCCACACAATCCATCAGGCAAAGCTCTTTCAGATGAGAAGGGAAGGCCGTGTACATAGTTATGTAAAAAAAGATTGCTTCATGAGCTAATGGTTCATATATGCAAAAGGGTAAGATGAAAGCTTTACTTTGTACAAATGTAAATAGATAAAGATTAAGTAACATAATACATTAATACTTCTTAAAATGTGCTATTTGCAAACTTAATTATCAGTGAACACAGTTGGCTATGGCTGTGTTCCCATATATCGTTATAGACAGCTAAACCCTTCAACTATGCAATGAATGTTAGGGCTTTTCACAAAAGCCTGCCTAACTCAAAGGAGCCTTTTCAAATCCATTTACAACATACTTAAGGTCATATTTTCCCTGAACAAGCGCTTACGTGATATGACTCTGTTTTCCTTGCTTGTTTTTTCAAATGGAGAAACATCCTATTTTGCAAATTGGACCCCAGGCTGAAACTTTGCATCTGAAGTTGCTGCTTGTGGGCTCTGGGGGTAGAGTACAGCCCCGGAAAGGTAACTGAGGACATGAGCAACCAGTGCCAGGGAGGATGGGAGTTGTCAGATGCCAGAATCAGGGGACACAGACAGGTCGCCAGCATCTCGTCACCATCAGTCACGTGATTTCACACACACCTCATGTGGGAACCATGCGTTTTTTAGTGTGTCCTCTTTCATATCTGTACACACCTCCTCGTTTTGTAATGAGATTTAATTACACCCAAACAGATCCTGAAAGAAAGCTTCAAGTTTTCTCAGATGATGGATATGTTTTCACTGTGTGCGGTAACTGATGGATTTAAGGTGCACATTTCCTAATGTGACTTGTATTCCAGGTGGTGAGAAAGTCTGGGAATAGCCGTGACAGTCAGCCACGTGGAGCCGTGGAGAGTTACAGAGGGTGAGAGGTGGCAGAGACAAAGTCTTGCGTGTGCGTGTGTTTTTAAGTTTGCATCAATCTTAATGTCTCTTCATAATACTTTTATAATACATTAAGCCTCTTGTCTACATATTTGGAGAGAATATGACTTTACTAGCAGAGAAATACAATATATCTTGTCTACTGGACTGTAAAATATATGTATGAAATAAAATTAGTTCCATTTGGTCTTCTAGTATATTAAAGTGCTATCTGACGTTGTTATCCTGTTTTTGCAAAAAAAAAAAAGTTAACTACAGACCATTGTTTCTAATAAGCAGAGAGATCTATTTTAGTAGTAAACTGAAGGTTTAGTTGTGAGCTTCAGATTTTGTGAACTCCAGATGTTGTGCAGTGTTTTGTTTTTTTTTTAAGACAACAACTAAAAAGAAAAAAAATCCAAGGAATATGTACACTGGAACTGTAGTGGTAGCTTTCAGTATTGTAAAGAGATTGTTCTATCCAGACCTTTTTGCTGTTTATCCTGTATGTAATAAAGTCCTTTCTAGATCCTCTGTGGAAAGAAAAGTGAAGCGACTGGATCTTCAGCATGTTCTCATCGGCGGAGCCTCTTGTGTAATGTAAACTGTGCCATGTTATTAAAAAATGTGAACTAAGCTTCCAGCTGCTTGTTTGTGTGAGATGGCCATCATTACCCTGGGGAAGAAGCCATACTTGCAAGACCCAGCTCTTGACAAGGAACGCCTTGAACCCTGCCTGAGCAAGAACAGCAGGCTGACCTAAAATGGCTGGCCACCCTGCCTCACTCAGATAGTGACCTGCCAATTAGTTTCTGTAAGCATTGCACCCCACACAGTCAGTTGTGGGTTTTCTCTCTTTTTTTTTTTTGTCTTAAGCAAAATACTGTTAAGTCGTGATGGGAAGGTACTTTGGGGTTTTGTAGATGATGTGTGTGGGCTAAGTTAGCCAATACCCTCTGTGTCTCAGGCCTCCTTCAAAACTCAGCATTTGCTTTATCTGCGTTGACGACCAATCTGATATAGGGTTCTTCACAACAGTCCTTGCTTCCTTGTTCCTTTGCTCTTCAATCTGTGGACTCAGTCAGTTATATGTTACTTAAGACCTTCCAGATACTTTTTCCTGTGTCGCGTTGAATTACGTGGCATATGCATCATCACTTTGCAGACTTCTCCCTCCTCCTCTAAAATCTGTTTTTTCAAGATGTAAAAATTGTTAACTTTTCTTGTGTCACCCTGATGGAATTGCTGTTTGGATGAGATTGTGTAGGTTGGTATCAGTATCTTACTGGAAAAAACAAACTAACGCTGCCCTGGTGAGCAGGCTGCTGCCTGGCATTGAAACGGAAGTGAGCAGAACCTGTGGGCCCGCACCTGTGACAGTACCGTGTGCTCCTACAGCTCTCAGGGAGGTCTGGGACGGCCCTGGGAGACTCCTGGTTGGGGGAAACGGGCTTGCAGGCTTAGAAAGCTAATGATGGGCAGAACAGGAACTGCTTGAAAGGCCCACTTCACCCAGCTCTGCTTTTATATGTTAATACCTCATTCCCAGACTGGAGAAGATAACTTGAAAAAAGACTGGTGAAAACCTGATAAACACTGTGTTTTTCCAAATGAGGCAATTCTCGGGACATTGCAGACACTCGACATCAGTGGCGTCTTGATTTGCTGTTTCTGGCAGACCTTGCTGCCTTCTATTGTACACCTATTTTCATGTTGCCATCTGCAATGTCAGAACGGAGCAGAGTCAAACTCAAATCAGTCACGGTGTTTAATCCCTGGGGCTTTATTCATCTCAACCTTTGCATATATTCCCTCTAATTACGTTCGGCTCCTCGGCATTGATGGGTACCAGCACCAATTTGATTTTCTGCTAACCTATAGATGCTCTAATTAGCTCCACAGTCTTTGACTGACAATGATCTTGTTATCTTCTAATGGTACATGACAAGTAAAATAGCGAATATAATGATGCAATAATTACCATTTTGGATGGATATTCGCAACAGTATTTGCTGTTTATCCTTTTCCTGCCTCAGTCAAGGTGGATGAGAGGAGATCCGATGTGACTGTTGATGTTATATACATATGTGCCATAAAAAGACGTTTAAGACAAAATTTTGCGATGCAATTAGCCATGCAGTGTGGGCTTCTTGGGTTTATATCCACACTGAAAAGCAAATTAGGCCCCAGTGGCATTAAATCAGTTGAAGGAAAGAGAACAAAAGTGCCATGGGTTTTTTCACGTTATTTTTTAAACTTTGCCGTTGTTTTTTGTGTGAATTGCTGAGCAATTTCTTAGACATGGCAAGTTTCCTTTCAATAGAATAGGATTATTTATCAGATAAAAAATTGCATCCTCCAAGACAATTCCACACTGAAATTGCTGGTCTTCCTTGGGCACTCTCACAGGTACAAAGTGAGTTTTTAGAATCTCACATCTGAGCTGCTAGAAGCCTCTGACAAGGAGCTTGGACCAGCAGGCAGGGCGCCTGGAGCCCCCCCCGTGCTTTGTGTTCCCAGTGACCTTGAGCTTACCACAGCACGGCAAACTGTCCTAATGTGTAACTGAGGCCAGCTGAACCTACCAAGGGCTACAGACATGCAGGTTGTAAGCCCAGAACACATCGGCCTGAAGCGTCCTGAGGTGTGGGTCCCAGAGCCCATGGACACGGTAGACTTGAAGAGAATGGCCCGCACAAAAGAAAGTAACTTTTGGTTTTTTTACAGCCTCAGTTCCAATTACAGTGTCATGAAGATTGTTTGCTAAAGATTTGCTGACGCACTTGCAGACCCAAGGGGAGTGGGTTGGTGGTTCCTGGGTTTCTCACCTGGTTGGAGGGGGGAGTTGGGGCAGGGTCAGGCCACATCCCGCAGGGCATTGTCACAGGTGGGGTCTCGACCTGCTGTCGTACCCACAGTGTTTACCAACTCCATGATGTAGGCAAGGTGGAGTCTGTTTGGAGCCTCCATGTGGCCTGGAAGAGCCCTGGAGCAGAAGCCTGCGTTTGTCTCCCACGCAGGTGCTGGGCAAACAGGTCTCAGTTTCCTCAGCCGTAACGTGAATTTCTTGGCTGATATTTCAGGCTTCTTCAAGCTCTGTTTGGACTTTGTTGGGCCTCAGGTTACTTTTTAAAACTTTGTTTACCTTCTCACACTCTGTACTATTCCCCGTGCTTCTTGGCAGCTTCTGATCTCCGTTTATCTGCAGGATCTCTTCCCTCTTACCAAAGGCCCTGGGGTAAGAATCTGAGCCACCCTGCAAGGTCAAACTCAAGGCCCGTCTCAGTGAAGCCTCCCCTGACTGCTAATCCCTCCCTCTTTGGAAGCCTCCCAGGGTTTAGCCTGCTCTCCAAGCTCCCCGCCTCCACCCTCCACTCAGCCTTCCTGTTCTGGGGTTCCATAGGGCCCTGTCTTCTCTCTCACAGGATCATCGGCCCCACAGGACAGGGGCCTGAATGGCTCATGTCCCTGGCCAGGCCCTATGCTAGATGCCACAGGCAGGTCGAGGTCACTCCCTGGCTGGTTCTCTGAACTGGGAGACTGCACAGAGCCCTGGCTCTCAAACCTTTGGTACTGTCATCATGATGCAGCACACACACACACACACACACACACACACACACATACCTGAAACAGGTATGATGAAACAATACCTTTGCTGTGTGCAATGAACTCTGATTTTTTTATTCCATTCTCATTCATTTTTGTAAATGCTGGTTGCAACCCACTACTTCATCTCACACCATTAGGAATCATAGGTCTCAATCCCTAGTTTGAAAATAGTATCGTGGAAGAAATCCTCCAGGTTTTAAAGAAGGGTGAGTCACCTGGGCTGAGGGCCAAGGCTGTTTTCTGCTCTTGTCCCACAACTACTACCTATCCTCTTACCTAGTCTCCCTAAACTGCCCATTACGCCATTGCCAGTTCTGCTCACACCTCTCCCAGGTTCCACAACCATGCTGTTCTTAAAGAGGGCGCTAGAGTGGAGCCCAGACTTCTCACCTGGCCTTTGAGGTCCTGCACCCTTGGTGCGTGGGGACCTGTCAGCCTCACCTCCCCATGCCTTTCCCAGCACTCTGTGCCTTTGTTCCCTTTGCTATCTTTTCTCCATCTGGCAAACAGGTTCACCTCAAAGACCTTCACCTCCAGGAAGCCTCCCCTGACTGCCCCGTGTCCCCCATCGCAGTTAATTCCTTAGACTAGTGGCTCTCAAAGTGTGGTCCTTGGACCAGCAGCAGCACTACCTGGGAACTGCTCAGAAATATGAATTCTCAGGCCCTCCCTCCAACCTCTTGAATCTGAAACTCTGAGGGTGGGGCCCAGTGATCTGTGGTTTAACAAGCCCTCCAGGTGATTCTGATGCACAATCAAGTTTGAGAACCACTGGCTCACGCTATGTAAAAAGGTCAGGGGAAAGTTCTGGCCAAAAGCTGCAAAAAGAATCGTCAGGTAACAGAAAGTGGTTCTGGAAAAGAAGCTGTGTTCTCTTTGACTTTCTGGCCTGATCCATGATCCTACTGGATTGGATCGTCAAGAGGTTGTCACCTCTTTTGAGCCAGAAAGGCATTTTCTGCTTCCTTGCTAGTGTATCGTTGCTAATTCATGCATCACTAACAGTACGAAATGGGCAGAGAGGTCTGCCTCTCCTTAGCAATAATGATGAGAGCCAATGTTTTCTGAGTGCTTTTTGCATGCACTGTTCTAAGAGCTTTTAACATGGATCATCTCCCTTAATGTTCTCAACGTTCTTGCAAGGTATAACCCCAATTGGACAAGTGAGGAAAATGGGGCCCAGAGAGCTGAAGTAATTTGCCTGTGTTCAAGTGCATAACCTAGATACAGCCCCAGCAGTCTCCCTCAAGCCTGCACCATCACTGTGGCCTGTGTTACCCCCGAGAAAAGGCTTGCTGAGTTAATTAGCCATGTAAAGAGCAATTGCAGGGACATCGTTTACCCACTTAACACTCACTTGTAATTAGCACCGTATATATTCTAGAGGCTGCAAACTGGTGGCCTGGAATGAATGAATGAGACAAGAGGATTGTGCATGACTCGATGAGAACATACCATGACCCAAGGATTATGATATTAATCATGATATCTGTACATCTGAGGTATGTTTTCTTAAAAATTAGTGGCTTGTGTGGTCCAAAGCAGCCCACAACATGTTGCATTTGGCCCAGAATGATTTTAGAATATAAAAATTTTATGTAGGCAAATTGCAGGTCGTGACCCCATTGAACCTCCGTCCCTGAGGGGGCCACATGCCCTGAGCTGCCTGCAGCCCTGTCACTCCCAGCGTCCCACACGGCACCCTCCACACAGTTTCCTTATGTGTTAGGTGGATATTGAGCAGTTTGTGACTACGGATATGTGCAAATATTTAATACTAGAGTTCTTGAAAACAAAGTAGTCTCATATCTAATTATTAAGGTAGAACGAAAGTTCCAGGCAATAAGGTCACAGTCATTGGAAGTAATAAACTGGCATTCCTCCATAACTTGGGATTTTCATTCATTCAGATGGGTCTTCACCCTGGTGGGTCTGTCATAATGCAACTAAGGATGCCATCTGCTGTAGTTTGCACACCCCTAACAACAGCAAAGGTTCATGAAGACATCAGCAGGTGCAGAATAAATAAATGGCTAGGTGCTGGGGCTATAGCAGTAGTCAAAAGGACAAGGCCCCTCCCTCCCTGGTGGGCTTACATCCAGGGGGAAGACAATCAAGTGGCAAGTTAACCAAGACAGTTACAGACAGGAATAAATGGTGCAAAAAGTGAAGAAGGTGGCGTGAGAGCCTCTTGGACAGATGGGCAGGAAGGCACATTCAAGGACATTGTTGAGTTAGTGAAATGGAGTTCTCCATTTCAGCCAAGTTTTGTTGCAGCCTGGTTCTCCTTCCTCCTGGGTTTCCCAAAACTACCCTGAGCTCTGGGAGGCCTGTAAAATACGGCCTCTCCCGCTGAGAGTCCTGAGCCGGTGGTAGAGGTGTCGCTGCCTTCTCCCTGTTCGCCTCACCTGCAATCCTGCTAAGGGCCAAGTGATGGCGCCACCGAGTCCCTTCTGGACTGTGCCTGAGGGCCGAGTGGCATGGACACAGTGGATTTGAGCTGGCTCACTCACCACCTCTCTACAGACCTCCATTTCCTCATCTCAGTAATGAGAAGCAGGAAGGAGACTGGACCTTACCCGCTGATGTCTGAGTTCTCTTTCAGTTCAAATAGGTTATGTTCATGTGGCTGGATTTTATTTGCCAGTGTTTATGGAAGAAAAGAAATGCCAAGATAAAAACAGGAAAGTGCTAGTAACGTTTGAGAGGAGGAGTCTCATGAGGGAGCATTGAGAGCCAAGCTCGGAGAGGTCTTTGGGGGCCCTGTGCAAGGGACTGGCTTGCTAGGACTTTAAACTTCATCCTGTGAGCGGTTGGGAACTACTGAAGTTTCTGTCAGTAAGGCTTCAGGGAGATTAACCCGGTACCAGTGAGGGTGGATTGCACTGACACACGACACCGACTCCTGACAGGGCCACAGTCCTATATTCCACAGGCATCTCAGTTCCAGCTTCAGCCCTGCGTAGACCTCCTGGAACGTGAAACAGAGCAGCGTCTAAACCCTGCAGCCTCCATCACCTCTCCAGAGGCCCAGTGGCGGCTCCCACCTGTGCTCCATCACACCCACATCTGTGGGCCCGCCCCACAGGCTTCCCGCTCCAAGGGCTGCTCACTGGTTTATCCCCTCGTCTAGCCTCCTGGCCTGCACCTGCCAGGCTCAAAGGCAACTCCAACTCTGCACACCAGGAGTCTGGCCCCGCCCCTACTCAGAGCCTCCCCATACCCTGTGCCCTGGACCTCAGCACTGGTGTCATCCTGCTTTAATTGCCAGTCTCCTGTTGTCCTTCTGGCTCCGTATCCACTCCACTCCATTCCCATCCTCCTCATGTCCTGGAAACCCGCCCTGGCCCTCTGGTCAGTAGTTAAAACAAACCCCCTTTTCTATCCACTCTTCTCGGGACCTTCCCTTCATCCCCTGAGGACACAGGCTCCCCTGCAGCTCTCTAAAATGGGGGGCATTTTCTCTCCCACATCCTTCTCATTAGGGCCTGAGGTGGGCAAGGATCACCTTGGTCTCCTCGCTGCCCTCAGAACACCCTCCCTGCCTCCCCCAATCCCCCAAGTCCTGGGTGCGACCATCTGCCCAGGGTCCTTCTCTCGGGCAACCCTCCCATCATCGTTATTCCTCTCACGGGCACGCTGGGGCTCTGGCTTCATCAGCAACTCAGCTCCTCCCTGCTCTCATTTCAGATACGGTGCCTTCTGACCCCACGTCTTGCTGCTGTTCTCTCGAGAACCCCCACCCCGACAATTCTCTGAGGCCGCTTTTGCACACTGTTCCTTGTTTCCTCTGTTCTCACTTCCCTCCTTCCTCCACTGGCAAGTGATTGCTGCCACTCCCCTACACACACCCCAGTGCTCTTGCTCTCTCTTGTTTGCGGAACCACACTGGTTAAATGCCAGCCTTGGTTCAGTACTGTTCTGGCCACCTCGTGACAGGGCCATCATGGTCAAATGAGGTGAGAGAGAATCATAAAATTATGCTGTGGTCAGCAACTTCAAGTGGGCCCTTAACCCTTCCTGGAAATCATGTGTTCCTGCTACTCTGCTGGGTGCCTGTCATGCCTGAGGGGTCAGGGGTAACGTTTCCAAGACGGATTCCCCTTGGCCTCCTGGGAAGCTCCTTGGAAACCCGCTGTGGCCCAGTGCTGAAAGCTGTCAGTCCTGGAAAACTGCAAGGCCTGGACTGCAGCCCCCACCTCGCCTGGGGAAGGTCTAACCCCACTTCCCAAATCGTGAAAGCTCACCTGGAGAGAAGGGTTGGAGCCACAGTCCTGCCACATCATGTCGCTGGCCCTTGTTGATTCCGTGGAGGGAGCCAGGGCTTTCCTAGCTGTGCAGTGGAGAAGCCCCACTGCCCAGCCTCAGGACTCTCTCCTGAGCCCTGCTTGTGTCATTGCTAGGCTCAGACAAGAGGGGCCTTTTACCTGGCCACACACACGCACAGTACCGCCTCTGTCACTTGGGAGTTGGTGTGCAGCCTGGCACAGTGTATCAGCCACCACTCTCCTCAACATCCTGTCTTGTGACTCACACCATCCAGGCCCCAGGGACCTGCTTCCCCACACCTCTTGTGCTGTGTCCTCCAGACAAAGGGCGGCTGCTTCCAAATGCCATGAACCTTGTGGGTATGCCATGCCAGTGTGGAGACAGATTCCTCTTCAGAGAGCAGAGAGGATTTGCGTGGTGGAAACACTTTCAGTAAAGAAAAAACTATTTAATTAACTCATCAAACCCTTCCTCTCAAGATAGCATTGGTACGATAGATTCTCGCATAATGGAGTATTGTTTCCCAGCATTGAGCTGCCAATTTCTCACTTTTCTTGCTATTCTAATTCGTGGTTCTTGGTGTACTCACGAATTAGCCAAGTATTCACAACATTCTGCATGTGGCAACTGAGGAACATTTTGCAATAATAAACAGTTACTGTGACTCTTAAATTTCTATGTGTGTAAGACCAGATGTAACAAGGATGAAGCATATGAAAACAAGCACATGGAAACTGATTCCTAAGGATTTTATTCTTCTTGATGCTATTGTAAATAGAATTGTTTCTTAATTTCCTTTATGGAATGTTCATTGCTAGTGTACAGAAATACAAGTGATTTTGTCACGTTTTTTTTTTTTTTGGTGAGGGAGGTTAGCCCTGAGCTAACATTCGTGCCCATCTTCCGCTATTTTATATGTGAGACACCTGCCACAGCATGGCTCGATAAGTGGTGCATAGGTCCACACCCGGGATCCAAATCTGCAAACCCAGGGCCACCAAAGCAGTGCGTGTGAACTTGACCATTATACCACCTGGCCAGCATCAAGTCACACATTATTTTTTAAATGAAGACTTACTTACTGATCATAACAAAGAAAATTATTCTCATTAAATCTTCAACTTGAAGAGGTCAGATCATAAAATAATTCATAAAAAAATCATTGGAATTTATTTTGAATTATATGGTAATACCACATATCAAAACTTACGTCCATCCTAAAATTAAAAATAAGAACAAAGTTGGAGGTCTCACACTTCCTGATTTCAAAACTTATTACAAAACTACTTTTTTTTCTTTCCCTGAGGGTATTTCTTTTTTAAAAATATTTTTAAATTTTTTTTTTTATTGAGGTAACATTGGTTTGTAACGTTATATAAATTCCAGGTGTACATCATTATATTTTGATTTCTGTGTAGGCTACATCATGTTCACCACCAAAGACTAGTTACCATCCGCCAACACACACACGTGCCTAATCAGCCTTTCTCCTGCTTCCCTCCTGCTTCCCCTCTGGTAATCACCAATCCAATCTCTGTATCTGTGCGTTTGTTTGTTGTTGTTGTTTTTATCCTCTATTTGTGAGTGAGATCATATGATATTTGATTTTCTCCCTCTGACTTATTTCACTTAGCATAATACCCTCAAGTTCTATCCATGTTTTCACAAATGGCTGGATTTCATCTTTTCTTATAGCTGAGTAGTATTCCATTGTGTATATATACCACGTCTTCTTTATCCATTCGTCCCTGGATGGAAACCTAGGTTGCTTCTGAGTCTTGGCTATTGTGAATAAGGCTGAGATGAACATAGGGGCGCACGTCTGTTTATGCATTCGTGTTTTCATGTTCTTTGGATAAATGCCCAGCAGTGGAATAGCTGGATCATGTATTAGATCTATTCTTAATTTTCTGAGGAAAGTCCATACTGTTTTCCATAGTGCCTGCGCCAGTTTGCACTCCCACCAGCAATGTACAGGAGTTCCCTTCTCTCCACATCCTCTCCAACACTTGCTGTTTGCTGTCTCATTAATTATAGCCATTCTGGTGAGTGTGAGGTTATATCTCATTGTGGTTTTGATTTGCATTTCCCTAATAATTAGTGATGTTGAGCATCTTTTCATGCGCCTATTGGCCATCTGTATATCTTCTTTGGAAAAATGTCAGTTCAGATCTTTTGCCCATTTTTTAATTGGCTTGTTTGGGTTTTTGTTGTTGAGATGCATGAGTTCTTTCTACATTTTTGGATATTAACCACTTATCAGATATATGGTTTGCAAATATCTTCTCCCAATTGTTGGGTTGTCTTTTCATTTTATTGATGGTTTCCTTTGCTGTGCAGAAGCTTTTTAGTTTGATGTAGTCCCATTTGTTTATTTTTTCTTTTGTTTCCCTTGCCTGGTCAGACATGGTATTTGAAAATATGCTGCTAAGATGGTGTCAAAGAGCATACTGCCTATGTTTTCTTCTAGAAGTTTTATGGTTTCAGGTCTCACATTCAAGTCTTCAATCCACTTTGAGTTAATTTTTGTGCATGGTGTAAGATAATGGTCTCCTTTCATTCTTTCGCATGTGGCTGTCCAGTTTTCCATAACACCATTTATGGAAGAGACTTTCCTTTCTTCATTGTATGTTCTTGGCTCCCTTGTCAAATATGAGCTGTTCATAGATGTGTGGGTTTATTTCTGGACTCTCAATTCTGTTCTATTGATCTGTGTGTCTGTTTTTTGTGCCAGTATCATGCTGTTTTGATTACTATAGCTTTGTAGTATATTTTGAAATCAGAGAGTGTGATACCTCCAGCTTTGTTCTTTTCCTCAGGATTCCTTTGGCTATTCAGGGTCTTTTGTTGTTCCATGTAAGTTTTAGGATTCTTTGTTCTATTTCTGTGAAAAATGTTGTTGAAGCTTTGATAGGGACTGCATTGAAGCTGTAGATTGCTTTAGGAAGTATGGACATTATAACTGCGTAATTCTTCCAACCTGCGAGCATGGACTATCTTTCCATTTCTTTGTGTCTTCTTCAGTTTCTTTCAAAAATGTTTTGTAGTTTTCAGTGTCTAAGTCTTTCACCTCTTTGGATAAATTTATTCCTAGGCATTTTATTCTTTTTGTTGCAATTGTAAATGGGATTGTATTCTGCTGAGCTATCTATGCCAGTTGTCCCCTATTTTGTATGTGGGAAGCCACCACAGCATGGCTTGGTAACTGGTGTGTAGGTCCACACCAGGGATCCAAACCTGTGAATGCTGGGCTGCTGAAGTGGAGAGCACGAACTCAACCACCATACCATTGGGCCAGCCTCAGGATTGTATTCTTAATTTCTCTTTCTGCTACTTCCTTGTTGGTATATACAAACGCAACTGATTTTTGTATGCTGATTTTGTATCCTGCAACTTTACTGTATCCATTTATTGTTTTTAAAATTTTTTGGTGGATTCTTTAGGGTTTTCTATATATAAAATCATGTCATCTGCAAATAGTGACAATTTCCCTTCCTCCTTTCCATTTTGGATCCCTTTTCTTTTTCTTGCCTGATTCCTCTGACTAGGACTTCCAATACTACGTTAAAGAAGAGTGGCGAAAGTGGGCATCTTGTTCCTGTTCTTAAAGATATACCTTTTGGTTTTTCTCCATTGAGTATGATATTAACTGTGAGTTTGTCATATATGGCCTTTATTATGTTGAGGTACCTTCCTTCTATACTCATTTTATTCAGAGTTTTTGTCATAAATGGATGCTGTATCTTTTCAAATGCTTTCTCTGGATCTAAGGAGATGATCATGTGATTTTTAGTCTTCATTTCTTTAATGTGGTGTATCACATTGATTGATTTGTGGATGTTGAACCATGCCTGCATCCCTGGAATAAATCCCACTTGATCATGATGTATGATCTTTTTAATATATTGTTGTATTCGATTTGTTAGTATTTTGTTGAGGATTTTTGCATCAATGTTCATCAGTGATATTGGTCTCTGATTTTCTTTTCTTGTGTTTTCCTTGTCTGGTTTTGGTATCTGTAATGTTGACCTTGTAGAATGAGTTAGGAAGCTTCCCTTCCTCTTTGATTTTTTGGACGAGTTTGAGAAGGATAGGTATTAAGTCTTTGAATGTTTGGTGGAATTCACCAGGGAAGCTGTCTGGTCCTGGATTTTTTTTTGGGGGGGGCAGGTTTTTGATTACTGTTTCAATCACCTTACTGGTGATTGGTCTATTCAAATTCTCTACTTCTTCTTGACTCAGTTTTGGAAGGTTGTGTGATTCTAAGGATTTATCTATTTCTTCTAGATTATCCAATTTTTTGGCATATAGCTTTTTGTAGTATTCTCTTATTATCTTTTGTATTTCTGATGTGTCAGTTATAAGTTCTCCTCTTTTGTTTCTTATTTGAATTTTGAATTTTGTATTTATTTGAGCCTTCTCTCTTTTGTTCTTGGTGATTCTAGCTAACGATTTGTCAATTTTGTTTATCTTTTCAAAGAACCAACTCTTACTCTCATTGATTTTTTTCTGTTGTTTTTTGTCTCTATTTCATTTATTTCTGCTCTGATTTTTTATTATTTCCCTCCTTCTACTGATTTTGGGCTTTATTTATCTTTTTCTAGTTCCATTAGGTATACTGTTAGATTGTTTATTTGAGATTTTTCTTGTTTGTTGAGATAGGCCTGTATTGCTATAAACTTCCCTCTTAGAACTGCTTTTGCTATATCCCATAAATTTTGGCATATTTTCATTTTTATTTGTCTCCAGGTATTTTTTTTTTTTTTTTTATTTCTCCTTTGATTTCTAGGTTGACTCAATAGTTGCTCAGTAGCATTTTGTTTAATCTCCACATTTTTGTGGCTTTTCCAATTTCCTTCCTGTAGTTGATTGCTAGTTTCATACCATTGTGGTCAGAAAAGAGGCTTGGTATTACTTCAATCTTCTTAAATTTATTGAGACTTGTTTTGTGGCCTGAGAGGCGATCTATCCTGGAGAATGTTCCATGTGCATTGGAAAAGAATGTATATTCAGTTTTTGGACAGACTGTTCTGTACATATCTACTAAGTTCACCTGGTCTAATGTGTCATTTGAGGCCAATGTTTTCTTATTGATCTTCTGCTTGGATGGTCTATCCATTAATAGATTTCCTACTATTATATTACTGTCAATTTATCCTTTTATGTCTGTTAATAATTGCTTTATATATTTAGGTGTTCCTATGTTGGGTGCATAGATATTTACAAGTGTTATGTCCTCTTGTTGAATTGTCCCTTTTATCATTATGCAATGCTCTTCTTTGTCTCTTGTTACAGTTTTTGCTTTAAAGACTATTTTGCCTGATATAAATATTGCTACCCCAGCTTTCTTTTCATTTCCATTTGCATGGAGGATCTTTTTCCATCACTTCACTTTCAGTTTGTGAGTGTTGTTAAGTCTGAAATGTGTCTCTTGTATGCAGCATATATATGGGTCTTGTTTTTTTATCCAGTTGGCCACCCTATGCCTTTTGATTTGACCGTTTAGTCCACTGACATTTAAAGTAGGTATTATAAGTATGTACGTATTATCATTTGCTTACTTTTTATCTGGTGTTTTAGTAGGTCTCCTCTGTTCCTTTCTTCTTCTCTTGCTCTCTCCTCTTGTGGTTTAATGGATTTCTTTAGTATTTGAATTCCTTTCTCTTTATTTTTTGTGTATTTATTATAGGTTTCTGGTTTGTGATTACCATGAGGTTCATATACAATAACCGACGTAAATAGCAATCTATATTAAGTTGATGGTCTCTTAAGTTTGA